CCTTTCACCCCCAACGGGACCGCGCGCTCGTCGAGTGCCGAAACTCTTCACCACTTCCTTCCTTGCCTCTCCCAACACCGTCCCTTCTTCCCGCACCTACAAATCCTCTCCCCTTTTTCTTCTTCTTCTTCCTTCCTTCCTCCCGGACACTCACCACCATCCTTCCTGGATGTTGGCCCCCAGCCCCATTGGGGGGCGGGGGGCCAATACTTAACCCTAGTAACCTTGAAGAACACACACACGTGCTCTTCCAGCACGGACCGAAGTCGGCACAGGTCCTGTTTCAGTGAACACATGCGCGGGCTCTCAAGAGGGGCCCCGCACTTGGACTCCCAACAGTATACCCCTACACTCTGCAGATCGGATCTTGTATCCAAGTACCCCAAACACTGGTCAACCACCCACACCCCCACGCGCTCACAGAGGGAAAACATGCATAGATATTGGTTTCACCAGTCGTGTGGGCCGTTCACGACGTGTCCTTCTCGAGGCGGAGCACTTCGACCTAACCAACTTGATACACCGCCGGTTGGTTGTTGTGTCATATACTCCTCGTGAACAACTCCTGCCCGTCGAGCCTCCTTCATCCGGAGAAGGGGTCGCAGCTGTCCATCTTGAAGAAACTTCATTGTGGGGGGCCGTTTAGATGGTTTGGTGCACCGACATGGTGAAGAAGCCACCGCAGATCTCGGTGGAGTTGCCCGAGCAGGGCATGTCGCAGACGCCGAAACCGTTGGCATCGTAGTCGGCGTTGTCACCGCACCAGCACTGTTTCATGCAGCAGAAAGAAAAACCGCACACACATGAGGGGGGGGGCAGGAAAGCAGGAGTTTCATGGCGGCGGGGTGGTATGATAAAGATGCCGCGCAGTGTGCGGCGGAATCAGTTGAGAACACCGGTGTTCGGCCGCTTCAGGAAAAAAACACGCCAATCATTTACCAACACACCAATCGTGACTACATTTCGAAACAACGCACGAAGGACACATTCGTCCGTCGACGGATTTCGGGTTCCGGGGTGCACGACGATCAAGCACGTCCCGGATTCTTAGCTTGCTCCATACTTTCGGTTCGGCATCAAGTTGTGTACATAGTACTGGTTCATATCACCAGTATCTACAGGGGCAATAGACAGCAGAAAAAGCAGACCTGCCAGGCCCCAGGTACCCCCGTCAGCGCTTCGGGAAACCGAGTTACAATGGTTGATGTCGCCGCCGGTATCACTCACTCACCCACTCACAGGTGCACTGTAGAGGACGAACGGCTAGGTGAGAGAGGTACATGAGACGTGTGAAAGAAAAAACAAAGGTTTACAAATCTTGTAACCCTCGCAAACCAACTTGACCAAACGCAAGTGTACGCTCCTTGCTGAATTTGCGCCCACAACAAACGCACCACACTTTCGGACAACTGCGTTCTTCGTGGAACAACACCACCATCTCGGAGAACATGATTCGTACTCTTGACAAAACGTTGACCACCATAGGCCTTACCTCTTGAGAATACTGCGTTCCGTAGAAGGCCCAGTCAGAGCAGAGCGTTGCGCACACCTGATCGTTTAGTCGTATGCGCGTGTCCATGATGGTCGTTGGTGAGGAAAGCGTACATTAAAGAGCGTTGGAATTTCGAACAACAAGGAGTGTGGAAGAATCGAGTGTGTCGGTGGAGAGCAGGTTTCGGAAGATCTCGGCACATCGACAATCAGAACGGAACAACACATCGGCAACCTGCACCAGCAAGACCCGGCAAGGGCGTTTTTCTGCAGAATGTGGAAGAACGCATAGGAACAAATGAGCACTCTGAAACAAGCAGCCATGAGATTGTAAGTTGGCAATTCGCTCACCTCTGAGGCCATGTCGTTTGAGGAATCCCCCAAGTCGAAAATACGGCCATCGGCGGGGTCCGAGAAGCATCCAAGGTAAGAGGGATCGATGGCGTAGACGTCCATGGAGTAGTACCCACCACAAGATTCATCGGAGTTGCCCGAGCAGGGCATGTCACAGACGCCGTCGCCGTTGATGGAGTATGGGGCATTGATGTCACCGCACCAGCACTGTTTTCGAAGAGGGTGTTGCAAACAGGTAACAGGGGGGGGTTGGTGCGGTAGAAGCAGCGTGAATACGTTTGTACAGCCAAGACAGACTAAACGTGGTTTCTGGCTCTCTGTGACCACGGAACGCGTGGGTATCAGCGGGACTGGTACGGATATTGGATACTATTGCAGAGGCCGGAATGCTTTCGTAATAAGACAACAGTAACGACAAAGAAGGGAGGGGGGGAGTGAGGATGATGGTCATGGTCACCGTGGTCTGCCAGGAAGCATCAGGCAACACGAGGGTATGAGGCAGGAGGAACTCGGAATAACCGACGTCCGATGCGCTGGAAGGGAATAAACACCTTAACCTGCGGTGCACGAAACCCTTGGACAGAGGGGCGACGCGCAACATTTGTTGCTAAACTTCCGAGAAGCTCTCTGAGGGATGGCGGGGGTATTATGACAAGAAAACATATGTATGGGGATGGCTTTCCGCCTTCATCTGTCCAGGGCACCAACAGGACACCGACACACACGAATCGCTGGGACCCTCTCGCGGCCGAATCCACAGCATCGAGTCGGAACAACAATTGCGAGATAGCTTTCGACGAGAGAAGGAGGCCCACTGGGGAGGGACGTGCCTGTTTTCGAGCCTATGTGTGTTTTGATCCCACGAAAAGGGTTTCAATGTCGACGACATCAACATCAACAACTGGAACAACAATGACGGCAGGAAAAGTTGCCGGGATGCTTCCCTTGGAGATCGTCAAGCGCTTGTGGGCAAACAGGCGAAAATGAACCCCGCCGGATACCTTGGAGGTAGGTGGAGCACAATGCTTGCGTCGGATGGTTTTCAGGAACACCTTTTGGCCATCACCTGTGTTGGGAAGTTCCTATCACGTCGCAATACGTTACCCGCACGCGAATGAATGGTTGTTCGCACCATCATTGGGCAGCATCACACCCGAAATGTGACGGGCTACAAACAGCTGCTCCGGGATGGAAACCGCCTGGGAGGTTTGAGCAGCAGAGGACAACATATGATGCCCACTCAATCAATCGAAGCACACCATCTTGGTGGGTCCCCGCGTTTGTTGAATCGTGCCCTCCGCCCTAAACTAGGCCATGTACCGATAGGTTGCAGAGTGGCCTCACCTCGTTTGAGTACTGCGTTCCGTAGAAGGCTGAACCGAGGCAGGTCGATGCGCAGGACTGTAACCGTTTGGTGTGTCCACAACAGTCATTCATCAGGACATGGGGACGCGGCACTGTATTGTAATGAAAGGCACATCGAGGCAGAGTAATGTGGCAGCGCCTGGTGAGGCTGTTTATATTTCGGATCAGCGGCGATTTTGGTTCGGCTCCGACAACTCCTGGGCCATCGCAACGCGATACCGACATCAACATCGAAGCATGGCAGGCATGCCGATTTCGTCAGTACGAGCGTATCTCGCTTGCATAGCGATTCAGTACACGTAC